TTGATTTCGTCTTTTATCCTGGCATGAATGTTGTCTATGTTTGTATATATGGTTGAATGGTCACGAAGACTGGGGGTAGAAGTAAAACTGGGTTGACCAAGTACACTCTGCCTTAAGATTATCCAATCTGTGCTAGTCATAGTTTATGAATGTGTTTGAATCAGATTTCCGGTTGGATCGGGTTTCAACTGCGTTTTAAGTTTTATGCAAATCTATGCCCTGTTACCTAATACACAGCTGATATTTGGCATAATGTGGACATTAGTTCCAAAACAAATCTTACCGACTAGAGACATGGATAAAAGATTCTTTTAACGTGCGTTTCATCAATCACAGGCAATCTTGCAGCCCCCAAAAGCGATGCGAGGAGGAATTCCCATCTGTTTCCCACAGGTATTGTCAATTATTCCTGCATAAATTATCCTTATAAAAAGATACTAAAATCTGAAAACTCCAACCGATGCTTTTTACTTAATGCTTTTGAAGTTTGGGAACTGTGGATCGCTGGAAAAGCATGGTTTTGCAAGGAACAAGGTGTGGGCAATTGATGATAATCCTGAAATGCGTCAACCAAATGATTCCAATGGAAAATCCTTTATTGATCTACTACTAAAACCGTCTGAAGATGACCTGAAGTGTTGGCCCCATAGGTATGAGCTTGGATGCTGTATTCTTAGATAAAACTACAATAAGCTGTCACTTTAGGTACAATCAACTCATTTCCTATTGATTGAAGTTTGTATGCTCAATTTTTGTAACAAAATGCAAGTCCTAGATAATTGTCTTCTCGTCTCTTTGTTCCTGTGCAGTTTTGAGTTTCGACTTAGGGTGTCTCTTGCAACAAATGGAGATTTGAACCTGACATCAAGAGTTAGAAATGTCAATGGAAAGCCGTTTAGTTTCTCCTTTGCCTACCACACTTATTTTTCGGTTTCTGATATAAGGTATGTAGCCGTTATTGTTGAATTCACAATCATCTGCCTTCTGGTTGTTGCATATTTGATTCCGTTATTGGCGTGTGATTTTATTTATTAACGTGAAATGAGTTCTGTCCCTAGTGAGGTGAGGATAGAAGGGCTGGAGACACTTGACTACTTAGACAACCTTTGTGAAAGACAACGTTTTACAGAACAAGGAGATGCCATAACTTTTGAGTCTGAGGTAAATTCTTTTTATTTTAAACATGTGAAATTGGTTTTACATATAAAGTAGGAAACCCTAGATTCGGAAACAACAGAAGTTCACAACAAATTATTATTTCATTTCTTCATACTGTGATGTAAGTGGCATGGAGGAAGAAATACAATTCAACCTCCCAGAACAGTATATTCATTATGTTTGTCTGCCAAACTCAATCAGTCTCGACTTTATAATCTGTTAGAATTAAATCTTAGCTAAAATTTTCTATTCTTGCAAGTATTGTCGATGCAATATGAGTGCTTTGGCTTATAGGTACAAAAAATTTCTACTGGCAGGTCAGTCGACTTTATCTAAGTTCGCCCAATGTGGTTGCATGTCCTTGATCATGAGAAAAAGCGAACATATGTAATCCGAAAGGAAGGACTACCAGATGTTGGTAAGCTGGCACATGTTTGACATTTCACTGTTATTACATTTTCATATTTGACAGAAAGTGAAATAGATTGAAAATTTTGGCGTGTGGAGCTTGTATACTCAAGTCTCAGTTTTTCGTGTGCAAAAGGGATTAGCTTAGCTAAACATATTGCATTGACATGCTTGAACAAAAATGACTCGATATTGAATTTGGCTTTCTGTTTGCGTTGCATTCCCCCATGTACAGTTGTTTGGAATCCGTGGGAGAAGAAATCGAAATCTATGGTTGATTTTGGTGACGAGGAGTACAAGCAGATGCTTTGTGTGGATGGGGCAGCGATAGAGAAACCTATCACTTTGAAGCCAGGCAAGGAATGGACAGGGCGACTGCAGCTCTCAGTTGTGCCTTCGAGTTTCTGCAGCGAGCACCTTGATCTTTAGAAGCGAGGTTTTTGAAGACCAGTACAGATTTTATAGGGTAAAGTGCTTTTAGATTATGTTGTACTAGGCTGCTAGCGGATTATCGTAGAAGGGGTCTGTCCTGTAACCTGTTGTAGTTTGTTATAGTTCGATTCTTCGAACTAGGATCCTAAAACGAAGCACCGAGACCTTGTAATTTCATCCGTGGTTTTGTTATAGATTGAAAAAATGTTGAAATGGAAAGTATAATTTGGAGAACTTCAATCATGAAGATATGAATTGGGGCCAAATTTAAAAAAAAAGAAAAAAAAAAAGTGGGTGAAGAAGCCACTCTTTATCAGAGCCAGGTTTCGATCCTGGGACCTGTGGGTTATGGGCCCACCACGCTTCCGCTGCGCCACTCTGATTGTTGTGATAAGTGGTCCTCAATAAGTTATTTGTATACAATTGGGAAGATCATTTATATGAAATTTGGATGATCGTTGAAAGCGAATACTAATATGAAGGCAAAGAAAACAAAAAAGTGTGTAGCTTAGAAGTGTCTAATTTGAGAAAAATCTTGTGTATTATTTCGGATATAGTCAGAAGTAAATTACGTAACGAGTGCAATAAATATATATCTGACAATAAAGTAGAATTTCTTTTAATTTGAGCTACCATTTACATCGTGAACGACAATATATGAATTAATTGGACTACATTTCGGCATGAATGGGAAATGAGTCACTAGTGTATAGTTGTTGACATTGACATTGCTTATCATTTGCACCATTGAGACGTAAGAATCAAAGCTATATAAGTTAGTGGGAAGAAATGCCCAACTTTAATGCATAAATGCCACTTTAATTTGACTCATCAACCATCATATTCAAAAATCAAGATATTATATAATGTGAGCACCAACTTTTTTGCTATTAAGTTATTAACACACTAGTCAACTATGTTGTTGAGAGACTTACTATTTTTCGGATCTTTTTTTTTCAAACATCATATGAAATTTTACATTTTTTCAATTTGTCATATGAACTAAAATTTTAATCAATTTGTCATATTAACTTTTCGAAATTATTTATTTGTCGTCTCATCCTAGCGCCATTAAGTTTTCATCAAAAATACTTGCACATAACTTGTGTTTAGGGTTATTTCGGACATTTGACCTCATTTTCATGTCATTGTTTGCTATGAGCAATAACTTTGTAAAAAGAATGTACGTTTGATATGTAGCGTTGTTTTACAGGACAACCATACTTCAATAACATATGATATATGTTTTGAGGACTCTACTGTTGAAAAGAAACTCAATCAAAATTATATCATGTCATTATATTAAGTTTTATTTTTATTTAGAATAAAAATTATTATTCCATTGCATAATCATTTTCATTTTTTAGTTTGTAGAAACTCTGAATTTTTGTTTTTTTGAAGGCAATTTTTAAGGAGAGTGCAGACTTAAAATGTCTCTAATAATTAACAATTTAACTCACTAATGCTATCGTTTATAAAAAAAAGGATATATTTCCAACTATTATTGATTTTTTTTTCAAATTAAATATATTTCTTATTGTTATTTTCTTCTGATAATGTATTTCTAATAGTGTGGATTGATACATAGTTCTCAACTAATAGGAAGACAAAGCATTGAAAGTTTTTGATTTGCATTTGTGGTGGGTGCTGGACAAAGCATTGAAGTTTGTATTGTGTATTGTGTTCAATTTGCTGTTGCAAAATAATATGGGTTTTGTGGTGTTAGAGCAAGCTAGTCACAAGTGCTTTTACGGCACGCCATATGTTAAGAGTACAACGAAAAATGAAAGCCTTATATTAATAGTCAAGAAATATTTTAGGCATCTCCATCTTTTGCTAAGTGACTTTGGATTGTACATTCTAACGGGATTCCATCAAATGATTTGATATGAAAACTTCAAATCTGTTTTAGTGCCACTACTAATTACTCGAGTTGTATTAGACTGAGGACTTGCTTAGAAGTGCTTTTAAAACAACTAAAAATGATTTTCCATGATCCACTTGGATTTTTATAAAGATTGATTTAAAAAACATTTTGACTAAAAATGCTTTTAGTCATTTTAAAAACAATTTCAAACAAGTATTAATTTAAAGGAAACTGCAAAGCACTTCTATTGTTTTCTATTTTTCTAATAAAAATAAAATAATTACTGTTAAATTTTGAAAACAACTATTTGTGTTTGGTAGTTTTTGAAAACGATATTCTTTATATTCTCTGAAAAGTTGTTGCTCTTGCATTCAATCTTCCTAGTTTCCTAATTTATGTTTTATAAAAACTATTACCTACCAATTGTATTTTAATTTATTACCCTTCTGAAAAAGAAAAAAAAAAACTGTTTTTAAATATTATCCCAGCCCCAACCTACAGTTTTCCTGCCTTTGGCCATTCATGCATATACCATAATCCAGCCAACCAATCTAACCATTTCACGAAACAAAATTTCATAAAGGTTTAATTTTGTAATTGCCCCCTCAACTTTTTATTTCTTTCACTTTGGTCTTTTAACTTCTTTCTGTCTCATATTGGCTTCTAAATTTTGAAAGTGGGATTAGCTAAGGCAGAATGAAACTTCGGTTACAAAAGTTGAGAGAATGGCACACAACAATTTTTGAACAGCATTTCAGTATTAACTTGCTTTTGACCAAAATGCCACCCAGCTACTAGTACGTAAACACTTATATCTAAGGATATGAGTTTGTTTCTAAGAAAAAAAGTCGTGGAATTGAATAGCACCCACCACTAATCCTATTAAATCTTGTAATCGTCATCCCTATTGCTCTCGTTGAACAAAATTCTTAAGCGTTCACGGATCAACTTGGGACGAAAAAATTGAAGGCAAAAAGTGAAATCACCACTAAAGTTCAAGGACCAAATTCGTAATTAACTCTTTCATAACTAAAACAATAAAAACAACTTGTCCAAAAATCCTTGCCGCCAACATCAGCATCCAAACGGCACGCGTGAATCTCGCGCCTAAATTGCCCCCGCCCCGACCCGACTGGATGTCCCCATCGTCCCAAGCCTTACTGCTCACCCGTCTCTCCCTCTCTCTCTCTCTCTCTCTCTCTCTCTCTCTCTCTCTCTCCCCTACTTCTCAAAAATTGAACGACTCTGTCTTGGTGATCCGATTTCCTGAGATTCAATCCTTCCCCTTCCTTTCTTCCTCCATTCTTCATCTTTTTCCTCCAAATTTCACTACCCATTTCTTCTTTTCCCAGGAATTCAAATCCACATTTCAAATTTATCAGAATTCAAATTCCAGAAATTGCAAATTTCCATCTTTTTTTTTTAAATGTTCTGACCCCTTCTTCCTGCTCTGCACGATTAATTTCACTACCCAAATCAATCCTATTTCTTGAACTCTATATTAATTACTAATTTCTTTATTATTCAAACAAATTTCAATCTAATCCCATTTGGGTCTCTGTTTTTTTTCTGCAAAATTACCCAGAACAGAAACAGAGTAATCCAACAAAATGGCGCAACAACCGCCCATTAAACCGGTTCTCCAGAAACCTCCAGGATACGGATACCCGCACCAACCGGGCCGGCCCGTACCCAGTCCGCCAGGCCGAAAGCCCAACATTCCCCCTTCCTTCCGCCCAAAGCCCAGCCGGGGGAGCAGCTGCTACTGCATATGCTGCTGCGTCTTCTGCGCCTTCCTCCTCGTCGTCATCATCCTCGCCGCCCTCGCCGGAGGCATCTTCTACCTCCTATTTGACCCCCGGCTCCCGGCCTTCTACCTCCTCTCCTTCCAGATCCCCAAATTCGAACCCGTCTCCAAACCCGACGGGACCCACCTCGACGTCCAGGCTGTCACCAGTGTCGAGGTGAGGAACCCCAACCCGAAACTCGACATCTTCTACCGCGAGGGGATCGAGATGTACGCGATCCTCGGGGACGAGAACGACGTGGGGTTGGGGCTGGGTTCAAAGCTGCTCAAAGGGTTCACGCATAGGCACCGGAACACGACGAATTTCAAGATGGATATGAGGGTGAGGAACAAAGTGGTGGATCAGACGGTGGGGCGGAGGCTGGCGGCGCAGCTGAAGAGTAAGGAGATAAAGGTGGCGGTGGAGGGAAAGACGAGGATTGGGTACGTGATCAAAGGGTGGAGGGTTGGGACGATGCAGATCAATGTCTTATGTGGTGGCGTGAAGTTGAAGGTTGTTGATGCAGGAGAAATGCCCAAGTGCACCATCAATGCGTTCAAATGGTACGGAATTTTAAATTATTTATTTTGAATTTTGCATGCGATTTCATGTTTTAGATTTTTGTTTCTTAGCAAAAAGTTTATCATTCAGCATATTTTTGCTCATTACCCTTAAGTAATCATCTTATTTCTCGTCGAGATCTGAGTAGTAAGCATTACCATTTATCACCGCTTGTGGGTGGTGAGCAAAAAATACAATCTGCTCCATGCTTCTTTTGACTACGAGGTTGATGGGTTCACTTATTTTAGTAGAATTTAAACTTGTTTAATACCGCTAAGAAGATCATCTTTTAGAACACATTGTAATATCACATGACCTAACAACTACTGAGTACCATGGAGTAACATAAAATTATTAAATGATAAAACATAAATACATCACTTACCACATCATCTGATATAAAATTTAGTACTAAAAAAAAAAAAACGCTCCCTTAAACGATATTCAAATAAAACCTGATTGTGAAGAGGGCATAGGTGTTTGGGGAGTATATGAATTATGAAAAGCATTCTCAAAAAATTAAGATATGTAATTAGATAAGCGAGTGACTTTGTTTGTTGACTATGGTGTAAATAGAAATTTCATAAATGTATATATATGGATGTGGTGTCTATACATTTCAATGCGACTGCTAAAAATTATTAGAATTCTTTTTTCAATTGATACATGTGCATGTCATTACATCTGAGAAGTGATTTCCGCACACTTCTTTTTTTCCTTATGTACTCATGTTTATAGGATTTGTGTCAAAATTGAGCATGAAGTATAGTCACGATCTTTAATTTCTGGGATTTTGTTGATATGAGTGCAGGATCAACATTCGTTGATACGATGGATCTGATCCTCACAAAGCATAATATGTAAAGGGTGATAGCGCAAGAGAATTCAATTTGGTGAGCTCATCAGCTGGATGCTGCAATTTCCAAGCAGACATTTGTTGCCAGAAGATTAAAGGATATGGATTTCTCCCTAATCTATATATCTTTCTAATATTTATAAACAAGCGAGCCTTTTACAACGTATATTCTTTGGTGTTAAAAAAAAAAAAAAAAAAAAAACAGTATTGGATGGATGGGGGCAGTATCTATATGAATTCCAAAACACAGGCTAACATGTGTGAGTTTAAGCTTTTGGATCCTTCTAACGCATTTGGAATACATATCAGTTTAGAAGGAGCGAGGGTTGAAATTTTAATTTATTAATTTGTTTATTTTGGTGACTGGTTTGGACACTTGGTTTAATTAATTAGTTATTTATCAGCTTAATATATTTTTTTTTCTTTTTATATGAAAAAAGCTTATTTGGTTCCTAACATTTTGCCATATGTATTTATTTGCAAGTTAAAAAAATGTAATTATGTAATTTAGTACTACAGTCTAATGATATTATTTTTCACTTTTAAGTGAGAGATTTTTTGTTTGACTCTCGTCAAAGACGAATTTGAACCACATCATTATGGTTTGTCTATTATCAGACTTGGCCTACTCTTCCACCATTAATGTAGATAATATTGTTAATATATATATATATATAATTAAGTATAATTAAGGTGTAACATTACATCTCCTCTCCCGCTTTTGTAAAAATAATAAGTTGTGACATCTTTTTATTACTTTGGTAAAAGTGGGACACAACTTATGGATTGACTACAAAGACAGTGGCAGTAATATACAGACACTGATTGCACCTAAACCCATGTCTCTAAAACGAGCCAACAAATAAAACTAAACCCTAGCATCGAAAATTACACAGAATATAACCAAAGCTCACAAAAGGGCGACGAGTGCTTATAACACCACGCTAAATTGGGGCTGCAGGTCTTCGGAGAGTGTCTGGTGATAGTGACTTTATCGGCAGAAGCCGTGACGGACCCGAACTTGAAGACGTTGATATTGGCGGCAACTGGTTGAGGCACCACAACTACGCCGTCCATGCCCCGAGACTCGGTCGGTTTCAGATCTGGATTGGCCTTAGTTTCAAGTTTGGGTTCATTCCCTTCCACCACGAGAGCAGACTTGTCACTCCCCAGACCTGGGGCCGTATAAAAACCTGAATCCATTGAGGAAATAAAAATAAAAAAAAAATAAAAAGAAGAGCAATGTAATGTTTTGGAGCTAATTATGCATTGCGTAACTGATGTGATTTCAAATTGTTTTAAATGGTGAGAAAACTGATAGCCTCTGCCCACGAAGAGGTGTTCGACAAGGTGATCCTCTTTCTCCTTATTAATTTGTTCTTTGTGATGAAAAATTATCTCATCCGATTAATGAAGCTGTTGACTCTGGAAAATGGAAAGCTGTTAAAGTTGCAAGACAAGGACCTGCGCCGGCTCTCATCATATGTTTGCAGATGACATTATTTTATTTTGTGAAGCCTCCAAAAAGCAAGCTCAGATTGTTAAAGGGTGCATTGATAAATTTTTCCTGGCTTCTGGGAAGCAAATAAGCTATGAAAAATCGATAATCTATTGCTCACCTAATATTAATCGTGGAATGGCTCTTGAACTGAGTCGCATTTGTGGTTCTCCCCTGACTAATGATTTGGAAAGTATTTGGGAGTTCCGCTCATTCATGTAGGAGTTTTGAGACCCTTTTGTCCTATATCAGGCAACAGTGGTTTTTCACTAGCCGTTATATAGGCTTATTCCTTCTTTTTAGTAATTAGAACTTGGATCATTTGGAATGAGGATTGATGTCACATCCTGGCCCGGGTCGGATCACTTCCCGGACCTGCTCCACCACCTTAGCACTATATTGTCCGCTTTAGGCTTACCATTCCCTCACGGTTTTGTTTTTGGGAACTCACAAGCAACTTCCCAGTGGGTCATCCATCATGGGATTGCTCTAGCCCCCTTCTCGCTTAACTTCAGAGTTCCTACGAAACCCGAAGCCAGTGAGCTCCCAAAAGGCCTTGTGCAAGGTAGAGATGAGAATATACATATAAGGATCACTCCCCTGGGTAATGTGGGATGTCACAATCCACCCCCCTTAGGGGCCCAACGTCCTCGTCGGCACACTTGCGACCAGGGTTAGGCTCTGATACCAAATTGTCACATCCCGGCCTGAGGCGGATCACTTTCCGGGCTCGCTCCACCACCGTAGCACGATATTGTCCGCTTTGGGCTTACCATTCCTTCACGGTTTTGTTTTTGGGAACTCACGAGCAACTTCCCAGTGAGTCATCCATTATGAGATTACTCTAGCCCCCTTCTCGCTTAACTTTGGAGTTCCTACGGAACCCGAAGCCAGTGAGCTCCCAAAAGGCTTCGTGCTAGGTAGAGATGAGAATATACATATAAGGATCACTCCTCTGGGCGATGTAGGATGTCACAATCCACCCCCCTTAGGGGCCCGACGTCCTCGTCGGCACACTCGCGACCAAGGCTAGGCTCTGATACCAAATTGTCATATCCTGTGCCCGCTCTACCACCGTAGCACGATATTGTCCGCTTTGGGCTAACCATTCCCTCACGGTTTTGTTTTTGGGAACTCACGAACAACTTCCCAGTGGGTCACCCATCATGGGATTGCTCTAGCCCCCTTCTCGCTTAACTTTGGAGTTCCTACGGAACCCGAAGCCAGTGAGCTCCCAAAAGACCTCTTGCTAGGTAGAGATAAGAATATACATATAAGGATCACTCCCCTGGGCGATGTGGGATGTCACAATTGAGGTTTGGGCTACTAATTGTGTGGATTAGGCTTGATGATTATACTATAATATTAATATTAATTAATATTAATTAATCAAGACAAGGGCCTTGGGCCTCAAGGAATTAAAATTAATTTGATCAATTAGTTTTAATTTCAAATTAAGTTTTTAATTAAATTAATTAAAAACGTTTTGATTAATAGACACAACTCTTTGGAAAGAGTTGTATAACTTCAGATACATTCAAAAGGTGTTTGAAGAGGTATGAAAGAGCCTATATAATTGGAGTCCTCAGTTCCATAAAAAATGATCTTTTATTCCTCCACTGTTCGAAGGACATAGCGTTTGTGCTAGTCTCTATCTTCAATTCATTCAGCTTAGTATCATTTTAATTTTTTGTAATTATTGTGTAATTACATTATGTATTGCAAGTATTTTTGAATAATAAAGTATAAGTATTTCAGTTCTGTATTTCCGTTATTTTATTGTTTCTACATTGTTCTCCAACAATCCATTCTTACATCACTAAAAGCATTTACAAAGGCTTGGTAGAAAAGGCTCAAACTCGATTTTCTGCTTGGAAGGTGAATTCAGTATCTCTTGCTGGTCAGGCCACACTTGTCCAATATGTCACCTCCGTCATCCCATTTTATGCTATGCAGACAGTGAAATTACCAGTTACCATTTGTGATCAACTTGATAGGTTAAATAAGAACTTCGTTTGGGGCTCCACTTAATCAAAAAATAAGGTTAACTTGGTTAAATGGAGCCAAGTTTGCCTTCCAAAGTCTCTTGATGAGCTTGGTTTGAAAAACTAAGAGATGAATTTGGCTCTTCTTGTAATTAAGAACTCTTGGAGATTGATGCAGGGGGATAATGGCCTTTGGGTAAAACTTTTACAAGGAAAGTATGTTAAAGGTGATATGGGTTAATTACTCAATGATAAAACTGCTGTACGCTTTTCTTGTACTTGGAAATGAATTCTTGAAGGGACTAAACTTTTGCATGAGGGGCAACTATGACAAAATGGAAATGGCAATATGGTAAAGTTTTGGACGGACAAATGGGCTAAATGTAATATTTTGCTTCATCATGCTTCTTGCCCGCTTTCCAATGATATGCTTAAGGCCACATTATTGTTACAATAATGGTTGGGATATTGGTCAATTATTACTTGTTTTACCAAGGGAGATTGTCGAACAAATTCTTAGCATTCCATTTGGTTTTGATGCTTTAGCTGATAAGTGTATCTAGAGTGGAACAGTGATGGTAATTTTTCTATTCAATCTACTTATATGTTGGCCATTAATTCAAGTGGTTTTCCTAATTGACGATGGGAATTTGTTTGGAAACTTCATATTCCTCAAAGAGGTTAGTCTTTCTTACAGCTGCTTTTTCTTAATAAGCTTCTCATTAGTAAACAAAGGTTGAAAAAGGGTATGAATGATAAACCCTGAGAGTGTCAAAGATGTACTTGTGGCGTTGAATCAATGCCTCATGTTTTCAAAGATTGTCCTAAGGCAAGAGAACTTTGGCAAAGGTTGGGAATGTATAATCCACAATTAGATCACATTGATTTTCATGATTGGCTTCATTTTAATCTCACCAATAAATCTCTCATATTTGGGGGGGGTGGGGTTTAGAGTGGAGGTTAGTTTTTTCCATTGCTTGTTGGTTTATTTGGTATCAGCGAAATAAATTTATTTTTTAGCAGAATTTTGCCATGATTGATGAGCCTACAATTGCTATTTGTACTTTTCATCATGAATGGTTGAAGGCAAATACTCACAAGATTGATAAACCTCATAGGATTGAATCTTTGCTCCATTGGGAAGTTCCTCTTCACGTTGGTTTAAGCTTAATGTTGATGGTTGCAAGAAGGGAAGTAATAATTCTATTGGAGCAGGTGGTGTTTTGAGAGATTCTGATGGTAAATGGATTTCTGGGTTTTGCGACAATTTGGGCTCAGGTGAGATTCTCAATGTTGAATTATGGGGTCTTTACTTAGGGCTTACAATTGGCATGGAGATTGCGAATTGATAAATTATTGGTGGAATTAGAATCTGCAGTTACAGTTCATTTGGTGTTGCAAGCTGCTGGCAATAATCACCTTTAGGTCCCTTGTGTTGACCCATCGAGATTTGCTTTCAAGATATTGGCAATGTGAACTTCGGCATGTCTACACAAAAAAATTTTATGGCGGACAATTTAGCGACCTATAGTATTGATTTAGATTTAGGTCATTTTTATTTTGATACTCCTTCTGGTCTAGTTAGTTTTATTCGTGAGGATCGACTTTGGATGTCCTGGTCTAGATTTATTATTGAATAGGTTTGTTTGGGCTTGCTTTTAGCCCCATTTTTCAACCAAAAAAATAACGTGAAGACCCTTACAAGTGTCTAAAAATAAATAAAACTCTTAAATCCCTCTTTTAACACAACCTCAACTTGTCTGGTACTTATCTAATTCATCTTTAAAATAAAATGGTGATGGATGTGACAAGACTTGTAACTGATTGCTGTTTGACAAGTGACTTGGCAATGATGCGGCTTCCCTATCAACAATTAAGTGGGTCACACTTATGCCATATCAGAGATTTATTGACAAGGTTGACGGA